GGTGTTTTTTTTTAAATTGAAATTTGAACTTGGTTTTTTTTTTTTTAATTAAAACAAAATTAACAGTAAAATGTATCTAAGATTTTCTGCTTTTCAGTAGAATAAAATTCCTTCAAGTTAAATCATAGCAAGTTTAGCTTTAATGCATTCGAACCTACATTAGACATTGATTAAACACGCAGCGAACTAAACACATTAAAGAGCTCAAAGACGCCATTAGCGCGCACATAATTTACATACATATGTACATATATAACTAGATAGATACCCCCAACTTTGACACTATATTAAAAACTCTGTTTCTCTCTCTTTCTTTCTGCAGGCCAGCGTCGACGACAACGATTCCATTGGCAAGAACAGCCTTTACCACGAGCCCTTCAATGTGAACATGTATACGAGCGGCGTGAACGGTTACGCAGCGGTTAATGATTTACAATGTAATATGACGCCAGACTATACAGGTGTGTATGCCAAATGGCTAGAGCCTCAGAACCTCAGAGCCACAGAGCCCCAAGCCCCAATGCCAAAGCCCAATTCCCTGGGCTCGCCCATTTCCGCTGCGAGCCATAAAATATGGCGCCGCCAGCAACTAATGCAAATAAATTTTTGCGGCGATTGCCACACACATACACACACACACACACACAAACGCATAGACACATGTCACACACACATGCACACGCACACACACACATGCACACGCACCTTTCAACCTTTGCCATTTGCCTGACTAAGCGAAATCCTTTTGCGTCTCTTTCGTTCCCTCCCCCGCGGCCAACAGATGTGCCCGAAGGTGGCTACGCCGTGCCCCACATGCAGGACTACATGCCGGCTTCGAAAATGGCCAATGCCGCCGGCGTCGGCGGCTATGTGAATGTGCGACGAACGCCGCCGCCACCGCTGAGCAGCATATTCCCTAGGCCGCCCACGGTGCCGCCGCCGCCCATGGAGAAATACTATGCGACCACGGCCATATTTAAGCCCATCAAGGGCGGCTCGGCTGGCGGCGGCAGCAATACGAATACGGCCAGCAGCGGCGGCGGCAAGAGCAGCCACAGCAATCAGGACCAGCTGAATGGCATCTATGACGATGGCATGGGCACCATGAACTCCCAGTCGACAGCGCCCATGATCAATCCGTATACCAGTGGCAATAGTGCGGCTGCCGCTGCAGCAGCAGCTGAATTTCAACGCGCCAGAACTTACAATTTCCGCAGCTATCCTGATAATCTCTAGTTCGAAGCTTCGCTCAAGTTGGCAGCAGCGGAGGCAGCCGTCGCTGGCAGCGATCTGGCCGGCATTAAGCGCACCAATGCCGCCACCACCATGCCCAAGAAGCCGCAGCATTTGAGCATCAGCAGCGGCAACAGCAGCGCCAACACTCTGGCCGCCAAGCCCAAATATAGCTTGACGCTGCACAACAACAAATACAACAAGAACCCCACATCGATGCGCGACAATCATCAACAGCAGCAGCAGCAGCAGCAGCAGAGGCAGCATCTGAAGGCGCTGCGTCTGACACGCGACGTGGGCAACTCAGAAGCCGCAAGCTGCGCTGCTCCCGATTATAAGAGGCCGACGCTAACGGGACACTCGCCCGCCGACGATGTGGGCGTGCATCTGAGCAGAACTGCGGCACTCAAAGCTGGCTCCGCTAATGTCAACAGTGAAGCTTCGACTAACCAACCAACAACAACAACMACTGCAAATGCAACAAAATTGACTGGAAATACGAGCGGAAATGGAAACGGAACTGGAATTGGAATTGGAACGGCACCTGCAGCGGCAAACCCGCTGGCAAATGGTGCCATGCGTACACAAAACAACAGGCTGTGGTATCATTGATGAAAACCCCATATTAAATGGATTTGAGGTGAGTTCAGATGTTGGAACAGAAATTTAGAAATAGAAATTTCGAAATATTAAAAAATATAAATTATAGAAATTGAGAAATGAGTTCAATAGGAAATTAAATATTCCAGAAATTTCAGAAACATTTTTTTAAGATTTTTAGTTGATAGAAGTTACAAAAAAATAATAATAATATTGTTGTTGTAAAATTTCCGAAACATATTAAAAACAAATGTACTACCTATAAAAAAATTATTAAGTTCTAAGGATACTTTATAAAAGATATACATAGCTTTTATAGAGTCTTATGCTATATATATTTGTATTATAAATCAATAATTTTGTACTGATTCACTTTTTTAAATTATTAAAAATATATATGCATATAAATAT